TCATTTTGAAACCAGTCATTTCTGCATAACATCGAAAAAATGGTCTGTCATTCAGATGAAATTTTGACAAAAAGTAAAAAGATTTGCTTCAAAATTAAAAGAAATTCATAGTTTTCTTGCGAGTAAATAGACGATTTTATTTGCTAAATGTTAGGATGCGGTAAGATAATCATTCGAATTATATCCTGAAGTATAGATCCGAAGTCCCTCTATCTAGATCACATGTCAAAAGCAAAACTTTCTTCAGAATGCCGCTTCGTTTTCATGCATTTTTGCAATGTTTTGCAGAAATGACTGATTCTAAAATGATTTTGTCGGATATAATATTGGAGAAAAAGACGTCCCCCTGTCTCTTCTTTCGATTGGTGAAAACTGCAGATCTCTAGCTGATTGCGTTCTTGAGTTATTCAAAAAAAAGTGGGACGCATTATATTTTGAAACGGACATTAGATTCGAATATTTACTGAAAATATTTCTTAAAGATTGTCAAATATTTAAATATTAAAAAAAAATGTATGTATATAGCTGTCAACGTTCAAACTGAGATTACGTCCAATCTCAGATTGGCCTAGGCAAATGTCGGATTGACGTAATTCTATTCACTAAAATATCAATAACTATTTATCGTGAAAATTTTTTATTAAATTTTTTAGTCTAATTTTAACTTTTTCCTAAATGCTTGTAAAACTTGAAACGGCATTGTGCGAACATAATTTCAAAACATAGTTCGAATCCAACGTCTATCAAAAAAGTTATTGATATTTTAGTGAACAGAATTGCGTCAATCCAACATTGAACACGTCCAATCTCGGATCTGAGATTGGACATAATCTCAGTTTGGACGCTGACAGCTATATATATCTCAACAAGATTGATAGATTTAAATCAGAGATGGACAAGCTCCGATCGCTTCAGAGCACTTTTCGGTCGGAGCACTAATGTATGTAACTGGAGCGGTGACAAGCAAAAGTTGCGGTCTACTGAGATCACTCGGAGCGGTAACAAACACAGGCTGGAGTTCGACTTTGCTCCGATGGTTTTGACCGGAGCGAAAAAATTTTAGTACAGAAAATCTATCGCTCCGACCGAAAAGTGCACTGGAGCGGGTGGAGCGATCGGAACTTGCCCATCTCTGATTTAAATTGATTTCAATATAATCTTAACTATTTCAATTTTCAAATGTTTCTTTATTTATTTTTAAATATAATATATGAATTAAACGAAATTTTTGTTGAGATAGATTGACTAATATCAATTATATTCAAAAAAAAAACTAAATCAATATATCTTTTATTTTTCTCAATATAAATTAAAATGTATCTTGTCATTTTTCTCTTAAAAGAAAAAAGATAAAAACCTGATTGAAATAACATCATTCCATTGTGATAAAAGTGCATTTGTAAGCAAACAATCAGGAAGTTCTCTTTTAAAAGATCATAAAGTGTTCTTCCTCTATCAATAGCATGTAAATTAAGTTCAGCAACTAATTTTTTTTGTTTTCCTTGTGATGGTGCAATACGAAAAAGACCTTGTTCATTTAAACTATTTTCTAAAAGTCTAATACATATTTCAATAGGATAAGCAATAAGTGTATCATTTCGTTTTAAACAATGTTTAGCAAGATCATAACCAAATGATGGAATTAATTCATCATTTTCTAATCTTTGTTCAATTTCAGGCATTCGTGACGATAAATATTTCGATACATGATTATAAAATGTATTTTCTTCATATAAATATTGATAAAAAAGTTTAATTGTTATTGAATGTTCTTCACTAGCAACTTTATATGTTTCAGCTGCATATATATCATGTGATAATGTTCGAGCTTGTTCACATTCACAACGAATATCTTCTAATTCACGTAAACGTTCATCAAAATTTGGTAATGTTAAACGATCAGATTGTGTTTGAAATCTTTAGAAAAATCAAAAGAATTTCTTCTTTTTGTGTTTTTATATAAAATTAATAAACGAACTTTTTCCAATTGGCATCAGCTGCTTCTAATTTTTGTTGAGCTTTTTCATAATTATCTCGAAATTCAGTCATCGTTCGACGAATAGTTGACTTTTATAAATAAAAATAAAAATAAAAAAAAAAGACAAGGTTCTATAATTACTTGTTTATCTCTGGCTTGTTCAATAATTTTTTTTAATTGTTCTAGCCATTCTTTTCTTTTTGAATCAATAAAATCATGTATTTGAACTAAATCATCAATTGTTTGATTTTTAAAACCGATGAAGCTCCACTTGTTCCATATGGTAAACGATAAGAACGTGCAACATCATTATCAATACTTTTATTTAACTAAAAATAAATTTCATTTGTTTTTTTTTCAAAATAAATATTTTTAATTAACTTACAAAATCTTTATCGGTTTTCCAAAGATCAGATAATACTTTACAAGCATCCCGAATATAACGAACTCGATTGTAACAATCAGGTACATCATCATTTCTTTATTAAAAACAATAAATAAATAATAATATTATATATTCAAATAATTTCAATCAATATTTAAATATTTTATTATAATTTATTAAATTTATTTTGATTCGATTTCAAAAACACTCGATCATTGATTTTTCGATAGACTTTATGTATATATATATAAACTTGTTTTTAAAAAATGATCAATCTTTAATTAAAATAATTATTTATAAGAATTTTCATTATTTGATTTTAATGATTAACGAAGATTTTCTATTTAGAATTTTTTTTTTTAATTTCATCAATATTTATCCATGATGAGAGAGAAGAGAATTATCTATTCTATTTCTATTTCTATAAATTAAATTGTTTAAATAATAAAAAATTAAATGCAAAAATATTCTATATGAAAGTTGTTCTCACTTGCCCAAATCGAAAAACTCTCGTTAAATTCAATTGAAATTCGTCTTAAATATTAATTAGTCAAATTAACATAGATATATAAAAAATTCGATTTGATTTTTTTTGTTTGTTTTCCTTCTTCTTAAATGTAAAATTTTTCAAAAAAAACTAAAATCTTATTTTCGACATATTTAAATAATTGATTTAATAAGAGAATATTTATATTGAATAATATATTATTCTTCGATATTTTTTATTTCATTAATAAAGAAAAAACAAATTCCTCTTGATTTGTTTCAATATAAAATATTCTCGATCTCAATTGACTGGAAATATTTATTCAATTATTTGAATAATCAAACAATAATAAACCGATGAATATATTTTAGAAAAATTTTTAAGAAATAAAAAATTATTTCTAATAAATAAATTTTATTGAATATAAATCGAATAAAGAATTATTCAAATGATCGAATTAATTTAATAGAATATTTAGTATTTTAATATGAAATTTAACGCTTAAGAGCCCAATGTTCCTTCCAAGGGACATTGTGAAAATTTCAATAAAACATGCAATAATACACTGTATACAATATTCTTTGTTTTCTTCGACTTAAATGATCTTGTGGCTCATAAAAAAAAAGAGAAAAAGTAATTTTGAGTAACTGTCAGAGGAAACAATATGTTTTTTTTAGGCTTGTAATTTTTTCATTTTGAAACATCTTTTTATTGCTGAATACGAGAAGAAAGTCTGTTTTTTTTAAGCGGTATCGCGAGGTACATCGTTAGACTATCGTAGAAAAATCACTCCACAATGTTTTCATTAATCTATTGATGCATTGTGATGTCTTAAAGGAAATGTTCCTTGGAAGGGACATTGGGTCATAACGGACCAAAATATCCGAACAGTCTAAGAATTGTTAAAGCAATATTCGAGCGATTTTTTATCTTAATAAGGCCTGTCGTGAACAGAGAACCAAGGGAGAGGACATCTACTCCCTCCAATTGTCGGAAATTTTCTTCACTTGTGGTAGAGATACCAGCCTTGCTTTAATTCTGAATTCGTCACAGTACTCCTGGTTCTACTCTCGCAGAACATTCAATAACCACTTCGTCGATGAATTAAAACGACTAGCACAAGTATAAGATAATCGTTTTCTCATAGTTAATATTGACTCGCCGAT